ACCCGTTTAAATAGCATGGGCCTGAAGAGCCCATGAGAACATTAAGGAAATTACTACAAATTAAACTTACAAAATTAATACAGTACTGATACTGCTGGAGCTGAGGCTGTGAACCGACCCAGGGACCCCATATCACAAGTCTAGAACACAAGTTATCACGATCATTAGCCCATGCACACACACTCAATATTTAGATTTTAGAAATAAACTAAATGTAGGTAATGTTGACTGCAACTTTCTTTTTATTCTTTATTTTCAACTTGATACACACTCAAGGTAATTTCAAGCAAACTGAAACAAAAGATCACAAAATATTTGTGTTTATAATTATAATATGGATAATATTATGCTTACCCTTAATGGATAAAATATGATTTTCCAGGATTTTTTTTAGAAAAAATATAATTATCATCAATGGACATGAAACGACTATGTAGTGACACCAGGCGTTTACAAACCCCTGGTTGACAAGCTGGACATGCTATAGGGAAAATAGGTGCAATCAAATATAGGGGAGGATGTTGGTAATGAAGTTTTTGTTTCTTCTTATCTTTGATGTTTCTGTATTTATTCTCTCTAGAGTTTCCAGTCTCTCTCTGAACCTCTGGAATCTACAGATGTTCCCAGAGTTGCTGTCAGTCCTGTCCTCCCTTATGATGATGTGAGAAAATCTGTCTCTCAGTTGAAAGAAATATTGGAGGAGATCTGTAAAGAGAAAATAGAACGGTTATCTGGTGGAGGTACAGTGACAGAAACAGTTGCTTTAAAAAAAAATATTATTGTAATGTTGAAGAAACTGGAGTATAGTAAAATCCTATATGAAAGTAATACTTTTTTCCTATAATTATTAAAATTAATAATATCTATTCTAATTACATTTGTTTATTTTCTTAGTAACATACATCAACATTTTTTCCAATAATGAACCCAGGACCAGGGAGGAATTCCTACAGTGTAAGTCATTATGAAAACACACACACACACACACAGAGAGAGAGAGAGTATGATAAAAGTCTAAACATTTTAAAAAATGGATCAGAAAAAAAAACACTGATTATTAAACAATTAATTACATAAGAATCAGATATGTTATATATACTCATTTTAAATATATGCTCTATATATTAAGAAAATATGTTTAAAAATGAAAAATATCATGACTATAGGTTTCAGAAGGTTTAGTGTTAAATATCCTGTTTCCTTTTCTGTAGCTCTAGTAGACCACGTATTATTGATTTATGAAAAGGTTATATGGCAAGGTAATAATGTTTTAGCAACAAATTAAATAAACGAAAGAGAAAGCAAGAGTATAGATATATTTTTAGAGTTTCATTTTTATATTCTGTGCATATTCTGCATTTGTTTATTGATTTGGTGCTTTAGCTATACTTCCCTTCAAAATCAACGAACTCAGACTCATACAACATGCATGTACTATACAAACTGAGATTTAAATTAAACAGTTAAAATTAAAATTACATTTTCATTTTCATCAGATTCCCATCAGCTCACTCTGGATCCAAACACTATGCATAAACAGCTTTATCTGTCTGAGGAAAAAAGAATGGCTACATACACTCACACAGAGCAGCCGTATCCAGATCATCCAGACAGATTTGATGTTTGGCCTCAGGTGTTGTGCAGAGAAAGAGTGTTTGGACGCTGTTACTGGGAGGTGGAGTGGAGTGGTGGTGTGGGAATATCAGTGTCATATAAGAGCATCACCAGGAAGGGAGAAACTAAAGATTGTTTATTTGGATATCATAATCAGTCTTGGAAATTGCAGTGCTCTCAATCCAGTCACTTATTTTTGCACAATAGCATAAAGACTAAACTCCCTGTACTCCCCAGCTCCTGTAGAACAGGAGTGTATGTGGATCACAGAGCAGGAATTCTGTCCTTCTACAGCGTCTCTGACACAATGACCCTCATCCACAGAGTCCAGACCACATTCACTCAACCGCTCTATCCGGGATTTAGGATATATTTGGGATCAACAGTGAAACTGTGTAATCTGAGAGAGTAGATTGAGATTTTACAAATGTTTTCGGTTCATGATCCAAGGTTTGAGCTACATGACGAATCATACAGTCAGATTTTTTTTTTGTGCCCACTCTTTGTGTGTGTCCATTATACATTTACAACAGTTACTTCTGATCCTTGGGTCTGATTGGCTGAGAGTCTTTTCCAGCCGTGTGATGTTGTGTCACCACGGGAATCTTTTCATCAAGTGACGTAGAGTGTCTGAGGGCGTAAGTACAGAGGCCTGTCAGTTAAAGGGTTAGTTCACCCAAAAATGAAAATTAGCCCATAAATTACTCACCCTCAAGTCATCCTAGGTGCATATGACTTTCTTCTTTCAGACGAATCCAGTCGGAGTTATATTAAAAATTGTCTTTGATCTTTCAAGCTGTTTAATGCCACTCAGCGGGTGTTGCATGCATCAGTCCAAAAGAAGTGAAATAAAAAGAGCCCATCCATAAAAAAAAGTGTCTCACATGGCTC